ATCATCATCGGCTTGCGCGAAAATCACAATCATCATTTTACTTGTAGGAGCTGGCTGATGGAAAATACTTGTTAAGCTTACTTCCATTTCGAGTGAAAGTGTTGGGTGAAGAGACTCGAAGGCCGGTTCCACGAGAAGACGACGGCCGATTCCTCTTGACCAGCTGTCGATTCTCTTTATTGAAAGATTCATGCTGACGCTGTTTCCGAGGCAATCTCCTTCGATTCCGCTAAAAAGGTGCTAAGCTTTCGTCCGTCATGTGACGAACATCATCAGAGCAATGAGGGTATCATCGTCACAACCGAATTCAAGCTAACGAGTCAAGAAAACTCACCGGCAAATCCCTAAAAACTGATATATATACTCTACTTCTGGCCTCTGATCAATTATAAAGTGATTTGGTTAGTTAAGTTTTCTTGATTTGTTAGCTTGAATTTTGTTGTGACTATGATACCTTGCTCTGATGATGTTCGTCATTTGACGGACGAAAGCTTAACATTTTTTCACCAGAATCAAAAGAGATTGCCTCGGAAACAGCGTCAGCAAGAATGTTCCAGTCAAGCCAATCGACAGCTGGTCAAGAGGATTCCGCCGTCGTCTTCGGATGGAACCGATCTTCTGATCTCTTCACCCAACACTTTCATTCGAAATGGAAGTAAGCTCATTATTTATGAAACAAGAGATTCCTCGAAACGCAACTTTTCTTCGCGTGATGGGAAATACGTTTAATCATCTTCAGGCGGACTATTCCTGTTTGGATACAATTATTAAATAGAAACTATGTAGTTTAATCTTTGAATTGAGCATTTACTCACTTCAACCACTAGGATACACTAGCCAAAACTTTTCTTGCATAAAATGCATACTTTTCACTTGAGCCGAGGATGATGATGAAGCCATATCAGAAGTATCTTCTTCTTACAGCGTGTCTTTGATATTTATGTGGCATCCTATTTTACGTATGCAAGTAGAGTTTCGAGACTGCGATAATCTCCATTCAAAGAAAAACGACAACTACTTGTGCATTTAGCCTATGATGTTCTATTTACCCACATTGATGCAAAATATTTTTGAGTCATTAATCGTGAAAATGGATCTTTCTTTAGAACTTATTCGCCCTTAATTTATCATCAAACCTAGAACATGTATCTTTGCCTTCTTTGTCTTGATCGCTAAATTACGGGGCAAGTATGACATTTTTGGTAATATTTTGATCACAGAGATGGTCAATGTATTATGTTTTATTTTTCGAATTAAGTATTGTTTCCGCGACTACCAGCAAATCAGTAAAATGAGATGTATTCATCCAATTTCGTTTAAGGTGATAAAGGACTGGTAGAAGAAGAATTTTCTCACAATGATATGAGTTGAGCTCACGTTATCATTGCATTTCACATAGCCTTGCTTTCCCAAAAGTTGTTCTCATCCAGGCCTTTTTTTGCTATATCATATTCTTTTGGTGGAATTGTCGATGAGGCAAACGTATATCTGCTATAACAATCGACTACTACACTTTATTTCTGGAATTAAGTATTGTTTTCGTGACTACCAGTAAATCAGTTATATGATATGTATTCACCCAATTTCGTTTAAGGTTCGAATCCCACTGAGGATGTTGATAAGACCGATGCGAGTTCGAAACTGCAGTCCACTTCAGCTGGGATGAGAACAACTTTAGGGAAATCAAGGCAATGTGAAATTGAATGGAAATGTCAACTCAACTCATATCTTTGTGGGAAAATTCTTCTTCTACCATTCCTTCATCACCTTAAACGAAATTGGGTGAAAACTTCTCATATTCTGTTTTAACCCGATTTAATTCGAATCCAATTAAAGACAATCCTGAAAAGCCAAGTGGCGGCCCTCCTCTTTCAAATATAGATTTTGAATCGCACATAAAATACCGCTACATTTTGTTGTTCTTGTTTTTGTTTTATTTTCACCGGCTGTCCTTAGTACCATTCATCCTCGCCTCGAATGCATTTATTGTTGTTTGTAAAACTCTTATTTGCTTTCCTTTCTTTATTCTTTCAGGGCGAAGTAGACATGTTGGATGACGGCCAAGGCATGTGCCTGAATGAGGCAACAGGATTTTTGTTGCGGATCACTTATTTGGCTGACTTTGTCGTTTTCGGCACGGGCATCAATTTGTCTACGCTGGAGAAGGACAAGAACATGGCGACTGGTGGAATTCTCCGACAATGCCTTCGACTCGGTTAGAAAGATAGCATAAAAATAATCTGATTCACGATTTGATGAGTATTCTACACTCTATTGTTCATTCAGTCGGTCCTCTTATCTCTCCGTGTATTCATTGGTATGGATGTATGTATGCGCTCGTACATGTTTATAGATATGTGGATAATTTAAATTTATAAGTAGGCCTTCGCGACTACCTGTAGTTCATAAGTATGAGATGCATTCATCTTTTTTCGTTTAGGGTGATCAGCCCAGTAACGATAAAGAGTAGAAATTTCTTTCTCGAGCTCATTATGACTTGATGATGATTAGCTTTATTTGCCTAATTTAGCAGATGCTGTGTCAATAAGTAGAGTTACCATTGGCTAATATAATTTCTTTAAGGAGGGAAAAAGGGCAAATTTTGATATTTATTAACGTGCTCATTAACTTGTAACACAACGTGTCTCCTAATTACTTTTTCCAGCCCTAAAATCCAAATTATTTTAGTTTTTGTAATTACAACTTTAATTTTGTAGGCAAGGATGAAGAAAAAGTTAATAATAAAACACGAATAAAAGTTGAAAAGGTCTCAATTTAACTGTAGACATCGCTTAATTACCGAACAATCCAGAAATGATAATGAGTTGCACATCTACAAATTCATTGTGGACTCACCGGAAACCGAAAGAGGATTGCAACCAGCCCTTTACT